CACTAAGAAATGTACTTATTACATGTTAAACGTGCTTTTATTTAAAAAAACAACAACAAACAAACGTACCATCTTACATAAGGTTATCAATAATCCTAACGTCACCGTGGATAAATTAAAAAATAGCCTCATAGTGTGGGTCTGTTATTTCTTACATGGTAATTTCTGTATTATTCTTTTTTTAGTTAGGCTCTTTTTAACGCTAGCTAGAGAGCTTTTTTTATAACACTGAAAACTAAAAAAATATTTATAACCCGATCAGTGTTCAAATCCTATATCGTCCCATCTCTAAATCCATCCCATTTGCTCAAAACACAACAATTGGACTTAAAAAAAGAGACAAATAACTTCACCTTTTGGTTTTCCTGCTAGCTGGTGGAAGTAACGTGACATGGCACTCTCTAATCAGCCAGTTATCTGCTGTCGGGGGGTTGGGGGGTATTTTAGTGATCTTGATGGATACCTCTGTCTGACGGCGTGAGTTAAGGGTCAACAAACCTCTCCCAGAGTCTGCTAACCGGACAGAGACGCTAACAGAGACGCTAACAGAGACGCTAACAGGGCCATGACAGATCTGTCCCTCCCTCTTAATACATCACACTGCAAACAAGACCCCCGAAAACTCAGAGCAGACCAGGAGCTGCTTCTTCTCTGGGCTCCTTTTCTGGTTATCAGCCCTAAAGAGAGGTTCAGGAATGAGTCCTAAAACCCCAAAATGAATCAGCCTTTTCCTTTATAGACCAACATTAGCCGCCTTTAGCTTAGCGGTGGTGATGTGAAGAAATGTGACCGTAATCAAATTTTTTTTTTTTTTAAAGCTAAATGTTGGTTGGAGACAATGACAGTAATTTCAGGTTTTATTTTATGATAATTAAAATACATCAGTCAATATCCCACTGGTGAATGAGTTTCTGTGTGTCTTAGAATCTACGGTTGCTAACAAATGTCTAAATGAGACGACTAAACGTCATCACGCCCAACATTAGCCACATTTAGCTTAGCGGTGGTGACGTGAAGTCATGTGACCGTGATCTAGTTATTTTTTAAGCCAAATATTGGCTGGTTTGAGACAATGACAGTTATATGACAGTAAGAAGTTAGAAACACCAAATTTGGCACACATGAGCAGAGGGAAGAGATACTCATGCACACCAACTTTGAGGCCTGTACCCTTCACCACTGAGGTATAACGATCATGTATTTTTTCCTCTCTTCCCAGAACCTTAACACTAACCCTAACCATGTGCAAACTGGTGCCTGAACCTAACAGCCCTATTGGTTCCTAAAATCATTGGAAATGTAAGCGTGGAATGAGATTGATAACACTATAAACATATAATAATCTTCGTCTGTCTTCAGAAAGCGCTTAAAGCAACATTTGTTAAGCCAATATGTCAGGGATTGAATTCACAAGTTCACTTTCCTCTGAAATGCTTATTGAGCTTTCCCATTTCACATGTCTCCATTACGTCTCATGATTGTACCTGAATTTTGATTTCACTTGTCAATTAATGACGATGATGATGACATTCACATGGACCAAAATCATCTACTGAAACCAAGCAGCCTCTCTTCAAAACTCGAGAAAAACGAATGATCCAATCAACTTGCAACCATGGTCTATAAGCAAGGGGGGGGGGGGGGGGGGGGGGGGGTCTGGACCCATTTAGGCAAATTTGTGCACCATCATCATCCGTCACCGTCTGACAAAACAAACCACGTCTCACACACACACACCGCCATGTGACAAAACACCATGAAGTATGATCCACACGCACCATCATCACCAATCACAGCCTGCCAACACACAGCGTTTAAAGAATGCACCTCTGTAATAACACTGTGATTCAGCTTGGGAGGTATTCATGTAACTCGGATTTGTATGATAGGCAGAGATGACAAAAGTACACACATCCTTTACTCAAGTAGAAGTACAGATACTTGTGTTTGAAAATACTCTGGTAAAAGTAGAAGTGCTGACTAAACTTCTTTACTCAAGTCAAAGTAAAGAGGCTTTGAAATGTACTTCAGTAAAAAGTACCCATAACTAGCAGCTGTTTTAAAGAGTACCTGACCTCCCTTTATATTAATAGAACAATAATGTCATTGTTAGCTAATGAATGTTTCCATGCTGAACAACGGCAACATGACAACGTTTTCATTGGTCCCTCTTCTTTAGAGAAGACCAGGAAATGATGGATACACGGATCGTGTTCAAATCAATAGGCTCGCAATGACTCTAAATAATAATGATCACGCCACCAAACACACATTCAAACTAAAGGAACCAGCCTGTTTGGGAAATGTGAGAAGTAGAAAGTTCAGGTATTTGTGTTCAAAATGTAAGAAGTAGAAAGTACAGGTATTTGTGTTCAACATGTAAGAAGTAGAAAGTTCAGGTATTTGTGTTCAAAATGTAAGAAGTAGAAAGTACAGGTATTTGTGTTCAACATGTAAGAAGTAGAAAGTACAGGTATTTGTGTTCAACATGTAAGAAGTAGAAAGTACAGGTATTTGTGTTCAACATGTAAGAAGTAGAAAGTACAGGTATTTGGGTTCAACATGTAAGAAGTAGAAAGTACAGGTATTTGAGTTCAACATGTAAGAAGTAGAAAGTTCAGGTATTTGTGTTCAAAATGTAAGAAGTAGAAAGTACAGGTATTTGGGTTCAACATGTAAGAAGTAGAAAGTACAGGTATTTGAGTTCAACATGTAAGAAGTAGAAAGTACAGGTATTTGGGTTCAAAATGTAAGAAGTAGAAAGTACAGGTATTTGGGTTCAACATGTAAGAAGTAAAAGTAAAAAGTCATCAGAAAAATAAATAGTGGAGTAAAGTACTGATACCAGAAACATGTACTTAAAGGTCTATCATGCTATAGGCATTTATTATTAGAGGTCTCAGATGCCTCATCCTCCTCTATTTCAGCCCTGTTACTAAAGTGCTGATTCTGGGTATAAAGCTTTACAAAAAAAAAGAAAAACTCATTCAGGAGAATTCTCCCAGCAGATTCTCAGCTGAATGCTGCCGTGATTAAACGCCATATCATGTTCCAAACCACATCAAGGATTATTTCTGAAACAGTATGGAGCTCAAACTCTTTCTCTCTCTCAGGTTTACCACAAGGTGAGTTCCTTTTTATGTCCTGCTTCTTCACACAAGCTCTCTCCAGTGCAGGTTATCTCTGAGTGTTAGCGATGCTAATGTAAACACAGACCATATTACTTCCAGAACACATAGTGCATTGTTTCTGACAGCGACGTTTCTGAAAGGGCCGTGGGTCTAAAGCCCGCCCACATTTCAGATATTACGTCATATCGGATGTAAATCTGGATCAGCTCCGTTGTACCCCCGTTTTTAGAGATGTGGGTACGGAGGAAAAGAGAGAGGGATTTATTTTCTGACACTAGTGAAGTACTCCACTACTTCCCACCTCTGCTGATAGTAAGTGCATTAAATCGGCTCGCGGTCAGCTGATCTCCCAATAACTTAATAAGTTAGTCCAGATCCTATTGGCTGTGATGCTGCAGAACCACAGGATCACCAGGGGCAAATCTCACCTGCTGACCCCGCAAAGCCTCTACTCTGGAGAGGGGAATTAGTGAAGGATTTCTGAGCAAGCGAGAGTTACAGCATGTTGTTTGAGCTAATCAGTGACATGGCACACTTGGGACATGTAATTACATTCAGCGCATCAAAGCCACAAAAAGGACACAAGAAGGGGTACATTCGTACTTTCTTTTAATCCTCTAACTCCCTTTCTTTGGACTAGACTTCCCTTTTTTATCCAAAGACGTCCATACTTTGAAGAAAGCGCATGTTTGTTCATCTGTAAAGCCCACCGAGACAATATAAATATGCTTAAATATCTTCGATTTGATCCTTTCTTAGTTTCTATGGGCTCTAATTGATTGGCCAAATGAAGTGTTTTCGCTGGAGAAGGAACACCAATCAATCTGTAGCTAAAATCCAGATGCTCTGTTAAAAAAAAAAATCTCAACCCCTCCTCACACCGAGACAGGAAATGACTCTTAAGAAATGGAAATCATGTGGTATTTGGTTTTGGGGGGAAATTAACTCCAACCAATGTCACATTTTGGAGACTTGTAAAAGAGTGCAAAAGGTATTTCTGTAGTAAACACTGTGCATGGGCCTCGTTACAAAACCATAGGTGTCGGAGTTTTTATATTTAAAATGTATTTTCAAATGTCTACACAAGGCCTATGTGGTGTCCCATTTTACCCACCAGATGTTTATAGTGGAATTTAGACCACATTTTGACGTAAAGATATGATATAAATGTGAATTTTATTGTGGGGTAAAAATGCTATTATGAGCACTATAATATGTAGAATCCCAACATTTTGCATCTTAACAGTACAATTTGTTCACTTTTGGCAGTTTTAGCCCTAAAAGGGAAACACGTTGGGTACTCCATGTCTAGAATATATCAATCCAGAGCCATATTTCCTAAAAGAAGCCCATTGACAACAACACAAAAAACACTTTTCACCAACTGTAAACGTGTAGAAAACTCTTCAGGCAATCGTGTTTGTAGAAAAATACTCTAATGCACTTAAAATCTCAAATAAATCCCAATTTCACCAGTTAAAGAGTTACAAATGCTTTTATATGCACTATAATATGTAGAATCACAAATGTTTTATTATTTTAGCACAATTTTGCATCTTAACAGTACAATTTCTGTTTGCTTTTGGCCGTTTTAGCCCTCAAAGGGAAACACTTAGGGTATTCCACGTCAAACATATATCAATCCAGAGCCCCCAAAAGAAGCCCATTGACAACAACAAAAAGCCACTTTTCACCAAATTTGAACGTGTAGAAAACTCCTCTGGCAATCATATTTGTAAAAAACTAATCAAAAATCAAAAATCAAATCCCAATGTAACCACACAAGCCAAATGAATCTCTGCGATGGAGAGCCTGAAGTGAGGAAGCATCTGCTGCTGCTTAATAAAATGTGGATTTC